AAAGGATACAAACAAAGATCCCACACAGGACCACAACATTAGATTACAAGTAAAAAAGACAAGAAGCAAAGAAAATTGAAAAAAGGACGGGAGTAAAAAAAACATCGCGGACTCAGACCAACATCGGGTTGCCAGGGAGGGGCCATCCATCTGAGTTAACAAAATCAAAAGCGAGAAGCAGCCAAATCAGCAAAACGAGTCACCCAGGTTGCCAACCAACCCTGACTATCCACGATGCTTGCAGCAGAGCTGCTTCCTCATCGTCCATACCGAAATTGATTGAAATGGGAAACCAAAAAGCAAAATTGCCCACAACCTCCCATCCAAAGCAAAGGGGTAAACCCAACCATCAAAGCAGCCAAAATAAGCAACCCAAAGGGACAAATCGAAACATGTACAAAGCCACAAATTTATTTCCTGCCACGTCTACCACTACCGCGAGAGGTGTCATGGAGCACTGGATGAACAATCTGTAACGCAACATCAGCCCCAGGTTCATTATCACTACTAGAAGAGTCTGACCCCTCTAACCAATCAATTTGCTTAAGACAACTCCTATTCAACGTAGAGTTTAAAAGGCATTTTAATTCCTTATTAGATATAAGAGAAATAGGGACTTCAATAAAAGTTTAACTGGATGACAGCTTAGGAGCTGGAGGGGACAACGAAACAGAACCTTCCATATCCAACAGCACAGGAGAAATAGAAGAAGTTCCAATCAACTGCAGAGGAACCAACTCATTGATAGGAGAAGACACATCATAAACAGCAACCAAATGTTCAGCAGATTCCACAGACAGATCAGTCGAAGCAAGCACAACAACCCCACACGATAAGCTACCTTTACAATTAATGTGACAATTCAACTCTCCAACACCACAAAAATTAGGGGCAGAAAAAGAAGAAACCAATGACACTTCCCTCAAAATCTCCACATTCCCAACCACACGCTCAGGAGGGGTAGACGGGGAGGGAACCATAACACCAACATACTGGCTTTCAACGACCAAAGCTATGGGGCTAGCATCACAGGCAGCAGCCACAGTTTCCATAGACTCAACATTCACTAAGTTAATATTCTTCATCTCCTTAGCAATAACAGGACTCTCCACAACAGGCAAGACAGGACCCTCAATAACCAAAGGCACCCCAGGAAATGCACAGGGATTAGAAATAGCACCATAATGTTTTTACTCTTTCATTCTCCTATTTATATGCTGAACATTAGCATAAAAAGTATGACGCAAAACTCCCTCACTTTTGTCACAACTGTATTCAATAAATCATAATGTTTGTGCCAACTTTTGATTGATCCGGTTCAACTCGGGCCAATTTAGGCTTTGTTTGTGACAGTTTTAGATCACTACAAAATTAGACAAATCGATTGACTCAGTTCAGCTCAAATCAATTTAGGCTTGGCTACTATTTTCTTATGCATTCAATTTAATTAAAAAATAATTTTATAAAGTAATAACAAAGTCATCCCAAATGAGACGTTACTCTAATTTATTTTTTGTATAAACAATTTATATTTTTCTTGATTTATATTTTGAGATTTTAACAAATTGAAAAGAAATAAACGATGAATTTAAATCACGGATCACCTACACGTATTAATCATTCATATTCATCAACACATCGCAGCCGTCCATCATAATTATTCATATTGTGATATCAATTTAGCAGTGAAATGCTAAATAAATATATATTATTAACAGCTCATTTATTGTTAAAAGCTGAACCGGAACTAATATGAACCGAACCGCTCGTTTAAATTTTAAATATTGACGAATACATTTATTTAATAATTTTAAAATTCTATTTGATAACATTATTCGACTGGGAGCCCAATAGAATTATTCTCCAGGAGGCGTGGACCCCGCAATACCCGATCAATCTTCTATTCGTCAGTGGTTATAAATGCTGTTCGTACCCAACACCCGATTTCAACCAATTTGCCACGTGTAATCACACACGACCCGCGTAATTAATGCCTCTCTTGCCCTCTCTTTAATAAAGCTCACTTCCCCTACTCTCACTTCAACCCATCCTTTCTTCCTTAACCCCACAGCCTCGCCGCTGCAAGCCGGCGAACTCCACGCCGCCGGCGAGTTTCTCGCCATCTCTCAAATGGTTTCTTCATTCGCATAATCCAAAAACAAGCAATGAAAACACGCTTCCTCTTCTTTCTCTTGTTCATCCTCACCACCGCCGCTGAAACCACTGATCCTACCCTCAACGACGATATTCTTGGCCTCATCGTATTCAAAGCCGACCTCGAAGATCCCCAATCAAAGCTCGCATCTTGGAATGAAGACGACGTCGACCCATGCGGTTGGGTTGGCGTCAAGTGCGATTCGCGCTCTCACCGCGTCGCTGAGCTCTCACTCGACGGTCTCGGCCTCTCCGGAAAGATTGGCCGAGGTCTTCTCCAACTTAGTTCTCTTCGAAAACTCTCCCTCTCCCGCAACAATTTCTCCGGCGCTCTCAACCCTGATCTAACCCGTCTTGAGAATCTTCACACCGTTGATCTCAGCGATAATGCTCTTTCTGGGCCTATTCCTAGCAAGTTCTTTTGGCAATGTCGGTCTCTCCGATCGGTTTCGCTTGCCGTGAACCGGTTATCTGGCGAGATTCCGGCGACTGTTGGCAATTGCTTGACTCTTGCATCGTTGAATTTATCGTCTAATTTGATTTCGGGGAGTTTGCCGAGTGAGATTTTGTCTTTGTATGGACTTAGGGTGCTTGATCTCTCTGTTAATTTTCTGGTTGGGAAAATACCGAACGGATTGGGTCGAATGTTCAATCTGAGGACGGTGAGCTTGAAAAGGAACTGGCTTTCGGGAATATTGCCTGATGATATTGGGGGCTGCTTGCTGCTCCGCTCGCTTGATTTGGGGGAGAATTTGCTCTCTGGTGTTCTCCCGGAGACAATGCGAAGGCTTACTATGTGTAGTTATCTCAGCTTGAGATCAAATAACTTCTCTGGAGATGTGCCGCTGTGGCTTGAAGATATGAAGAATTTGCGAACTCTGGATTTATCAAAGAATGGATTTTCCGGCGGAGTTCCGGACTCAATTGGTAGTTTACAGTTCTTGAAAAGGCTGAACTTTTCAGAAAATAGCTTAACCGGTAGCTTGCCGGAATCCATGGGTAGTTGTAGAGGCCTGGTTGTATTGGATTTTAGTAGGAATTCGTTGGTGGGAAGCCTCCCTTCATGGTTATTTCAACTGGGACTTCAGAAGATTCTGCTTTCAGGGAACAACCTCAATGGGTCTGTTAGAATTTCCTCAGCCTCAGAGCAGACATTACAGATCTTGGATTTATCTGCAAATACGTTTTCTGGTCTGATTCCGCCGGAAATTGGGGGGCTATTGAGCTTGCAGACGTTGAATTTATCCCACAATTTATTCATTGGTTCCATTCCTCTGATCTTTGGAAAACTGAAGGTTTTGGAGGCAGTTGATCTTAGCGTAAACCAACTTCGCGGCAACATTCCACAAGAGATTGGAGCAGCAGTTTCTCTGAGGGATCTGAATCTTGAGAAAAATTCCCTCAGTGGAGGAATTCCAATCCAGATTGGGAATTGTTCTTCGCTGACATCTCTGTAAGATCTCATTAATTATTATTTTCTGCCTTAAATCTTTTAATTTTGGTACTATATCATTTACAAGAGTTTAGGAAGTCGCTACTCCAATGCTATTCACATCGCAAGAACCATGTTGAATCCTTCACGCAAGATCTTTTTTTTATTTAAGAATTTCTGTATGAACTTCATGATTGCCTTCGTCTCCCACAGTACAGGCGGGAGTTTAAGCACTCTACATTAAATTCTCTCACCGCCCGAAAAGAAAAAAAAAAGAATTTTAAGCACTTTTTCCTCTCCCTTTTATACTAGTCATGGCCCATTGGATGATCTATTTTGTCTGTTTGCAATTCAAAACCAGTTGACTTGCAATTTTTGTTTGTTTTTGTTCTAGTACTCCTGAAAGAAAGACTTTTTATGTCCTTGAAATCGTAGTAAATACTGAAATATGAGTTTGAAATAATGGCGACAGCTCTGTAGATGCTAATTCATCTTGATCTAAGATGAAGGTCCTGGTATAAGTAACTTCGGTTACCGTTAAAACAACATGTACAGTTTTTCGAATCAATTCTTCACCTAAATGCTGAATGAGATATCTAACCAAGTTCATTATGCTGCCAATCTGATCATGCAGGATACTATCACATAACAATCTCTCAGGCCCAATTCCTGCAACTCTAGCCAAACTCACCAGCCTTCAGATCATAGACTTGTCACGCAACAACCTCTCAGGAAATCTTCCAAAAGAACTTTCAGCGCTTCCCCATCTTCTCTCCTTGAACATCTCCCACAATTTCTTTTCCGGCGAAGTTCCGTCCGGTTTATTCAACAAAATCTCTCCTTCCTCCCTTTCTGATAACCCAGACCTATGTGGCTCTGCAGTCAATCGCTCGTGCAGCACAGTACTTCCAAAGCCCATTGTCCTTAATCCCAACTCTTCCTCATCCCATTCCTCCCCGGACTCTGAATTCTCCCCGGAGAACCTCCGCCATAAGAAGATAATCCTTAGCATTTCAGCTTTCATCGCGATCGGAGCTGCAGTTTTGATTGCTCTTGGTGTTATAACAATCACTCTCCTCAACTTTCATGTTCGCGCTGCTACTTCGCACTCCGCTGCTACTCTTAACATTTCTGATGACTACATGAGCCAATCACCAGCCACTGATGCCAATTCTGGAAAACTTGTCATGTTTGGTCGTGATGATCCAGACTTCAGCACAGGGGCACACGCCATTCTCAACAAAGACTGTGAATTAGGCCGCGGGGGCTTTGGGACAGTTTACAAGACAGTTCTACGAGATGGGAAGCCTGTGGTCATCAAGAAGCTCACAGTCTCAAGCCTTGTGAAGTCAAGAGATGATTTTGAGAGGGAGATCAAAAAGTTTGGTAAAATGAAGCACCCAAATCTTGTATGTCTTGAAGGTTATTATTGGACAAAATCACTGCAACTCCTCATCTATGAATTTGTTTCTGGTGGGAGCTTATTCAAACACCTTCATGAGAGCCCAGAATTGAACTGCCTTTCTTGGCAAGAAAGGTTCGATATAATTCTTGGTGTGGCAAGGAGCTTGGCTCATCTTCATCGTCACGGCATCATCCATTACAATCTGAAATCCAACAATGTCCTCATCGATGGCTCCGGCGAGCCCAAAATTGCGGATTATGGCCTGGCAAAGTTACTTCCAATGCTGGACCGTTACATTCTGAGCAGCAAGATTCAGAGTGCGCTTGGGTACATGGCACCGGAGTTTGCCTGCCAGGCCGTGAAGATCACCGACAAGTGTGATGTGTATGGGTTTGGTGTGCTTGTGCTGGAGATCGTAACAGGGAAAAAGCCAGTGGAGTACATGGAAGATGATGTGGTGGTTCTCTGCGATGTGGTTCGAGGGGCCCTCGATGAAGGGAGAGTAGAGGAGTGCTTGGATGGCAGACTTGCAGGCAAATTTCCTGTGGAAGAGGCCGTGCCGGTTGTGAAGCTAGGCTTGATTTGCACTTCACAGGTGCCCTCTAACCGGCCTGACATGAATGAGGTGGTGAAGATATTGGAGCTGATCAGATGCCCACAGGATAGCCAAGCGGATGACTTGTGTTAGCTTCATTGAGGCCTTGTCTGGTTTTGTTCTTATTCTTTCAGATGTGATAGGAGAGATTGGAGGGAGAAGCTAGAACTAGAATTATCTGGTTTGATTAGATTGGGAGGAGCTGGATGGATGGTTTCAGTGAGATGGGTGAGAAAAGTTATTGTAAAAGTTTTTGAAGAGATTATGGTTATGTTTCTTGTATGGCATTTCTGGAAATCAATACATTACTTTTCAATTCTGTTTTGTTTGAAGGATTAGAAGCTTTGAAAATTTTGAAAATGAGTTTTTTATTAGAATTGTTTCAATTTTTTATATGTGAATGGATTTTGGGCAGTGAGGATGAATACACATTTAAATTAAAAAAATATTATAATTTTATTGTGTTCAATCGTAGCCGCCCAAGCGCATTATACACCTGAAGATTGGGATTGCAGCTGAATTGAACAGGATAAGAATCCTGCTTTCATGAAAGGTGAAAAAGTGAGTTCATGGCCTGCTATGATCTTTTTTATTCTACTTTCAGCATAAAGCAATACTGTAACTAAATAAATAAATAACAGAGCTCTTGCTTTTTTTTTTTTGGGAGAAATTTGGGATGACTTTCTTGCTGCTTCTGAAAAGCTACTTAAAGATTCAATAAAAAAACAATCACAAATTAAGCCTAAATATTGCTCGCATTTGTACTCCAATGAAATTAAGCCATATGATTTATTAAATACGTAGGGTGTGTATATTTTGTGTACAAGCAACATGGGTTAATTTCATTGGAGTTCAGATGCATCCGGACTCTACATGTAATAATTTCTCCTGTTAGGATAACTTTCTTACTATTTTACTGTTTTATAAAGCAATTTTTTTAGTACAAAAGTTTTTTGATTTAAAAAATTTTATACTAGAAATCAGCTTTAGAAAGTAAATTAGTACAACATTGTGTGGATTCATTATTACTGAAAAATAATACAAAATTAATGAAATGTTGGATACAACTATTAAGTTCTTCTTTCAGATAATTTTTTTTCTTACAATAATTTTCTAGCATAAAAATATAATAAAAATAATGTAAAAGTAGTGGTAAAAAAGTTTTCCAAATGAAATCTAAGTAATTCAGGTTATAGTGACATCATAATTAAAAAAAAAAACCTCTTTATTTTGTTTGGATCACACTTTCAAGAAGTCCTAACGTTAATTAAACTTACAATTAAGCATGAAAAGAGAAGAAAAATCTATACTTGCTCTCCATTTCCTCTCTAAGTCTTATCATTATGCAAAAATAGTCCCTTCTTTCTTGCTCTTAGTGTCAGCAACTCTAGCGATCTCAAAGCTATTGAGCTCGCCTAAGAGCATCTCCAACGGAACTCCAAAACGCTTGAATGCGTTGCCCCGGAGCTCCAGCCGAATGGTAAAACTTCTGCTATTTCCTTGCGGGTGAACAGTGGGATGCCAATATTGGCGTTGCACTGTTCATCATCGCTATTTTTCTGCCTCTACCTAACTTGCCAAGAAACACATGAAAGAAGAGAAAGGCCGTTATCTTCACAAAATGGAGTTCGATTGGAGATGAATCACAACATTTTTAAGTTTCACAGTATTTTGAAGTGAAAACATGCAATTTTCCGTTGGAGATGGTCTAAGAAGTCGCAAATTTATAAAGGCTAGAGACCCCATAAAATCCACCAATAACTTTTCTTCTTAAAAATGAACTTGCGACAAGGCTTTAAAACAATGATTTATGAGGGCTTCCTACATACTGAATCAATACCTTGGTTGTCATGACAAGAAAAGAACATATTTGAAGCCTTCAAAAGGTCAACAGATAGTTGAGCCGATTAAAGCCTTCTCTTCTGAAACATCTTTTCATGATTTTTATTTTAAATTTTTATGGCCTTGGGTGTGATGATTATCTTTAATCACAAGAAAAGAGAAAGATACCTTGCCAATTGCCATTAACTAACACAATAATCAAACCTACTTTCCTAAAGCACAGAGCTTAGGAGCAGCATGGGATGCTAATTAAGATTCTTGCTGTCTTTGTATCAAGTAAACAAAAGAGAAATGCATGCAAGCTAGGTCATTTTGGCCTTGCCTACTGAATATGTAAGAAACAGCACTAGTTTGAGTGCTTGAGAAAATTCATGGAGTGTCTTAATTAGGGGCTTGATATCAATTTTTTTTTTCTATTTTTAAAGAACATATTTGATTTGTATTTTCTTACTTCTTATGGTAAATAAAATAAGAATTTTTTAAAAATATTCAAAATATTTTTTTACATATTTTTAGGAGAATTTTATTTTTCTTTAAATGGAAATCAACGGCCACCGGCCGCCGTTGCGGCTCCATTATCATAGTGCAAAAACAAAAATAATACCAATTTAGTATATTAAATATATTTTTTATTTCATATTAAAACATATCAAAGTAAAATAAAAATATCAAGTCTTTATCACAATACATTGGGGTTGGCTATATGAATCCTTTTGCTCCATTGCATTTTGTTAAGAGTCAAATTATTATTTAAATCTAATAAAAAAATTATTTCTAGTCTTTTTGAGTCCACTTCTTTTCATATCATAGGTCAAATCTAATACATCTACTCTTCTAACCAGACCATCATAAGGCGGATGTTTTATGTGATCAAACCATCTAAGATAACTCTCTCTATTCTTATCTGTCACTTGCCACTGGAGCTATTCCAAACTTTTCACGTATATACTAGTTTCGCATCCAAGCCTCTAAGAGTGAAGCCACTCATCCACCTTTACATCCTCATCTCTACAACACTTAACTTAAAAAATAATAAAAGAAAGCACTCAAGTGACCCAAAATGATGTCAAAATCTCAGAACCCAAGAATCATTATTATTATTTTTGGTCAGATGAGTGCTTGAACCCGGCCCATTATAATTCTCAAATTTGTTTCCAACCAATATGTTGTGAGTTAGAGCATTGGTTCAAAGATAGTTCTTATTTAAAGTTTGCAGGGCTTAATCTTAAAAATATTATGCAATGCCTTAGAGCCTATTTTATATGGATGTCTTGAGGACAAACATTATTTTTTTAACATTTTGTATTCATCCAACTCTTCTAGCATTAAAGAATGCATTGTCTTGTAATTAAGCAGTAACTATAGCAGCGTTAATCTTTGATGATTAATTTCTCTTTAAAGTTAATTAGTCACAATCCTTTCTTTTTAACCCTTATTTTATGTTTTTATAGTCCCACACTTCATGAAAGAGAAAAGTCTTCAATTTTGAGTGCTTGGAGAAATTAGTAGGTGCTGACGTTCGCCGGTAAAATTAACCTCATCAGTATGTTTTAAGACATCGAAAATATCAATGAACCAACCTTCGTACATCACTCGAGCAGACTACGAAAATACCGAATTAAGAGCGCACAAGGGCACGTATTTTCGGAGCTCACATTTGGTTGTTGATTTTTGCATTTCTTGCTCTAGCATTCAACATAAAAATTTCTTAAAACAATAGAAAGCCTAGAAAATGCTTCAGTATGAATTGAATTATTGAGACAATGAAAATCATGTAATTATGAGGAATAATAGAAACATTTTAGCAAATAAAGAATGGTCAAATTATTTAAATAATAATTTTTTTTGAGGATTTACATATATCCAACACAATGCTAATATATTTACACATCTAACATATAAATTTTAATATTATTTATTTAACATCTAAATCTTTAAATCATACAAAAAATATCATTAATATTATTTTTTAAAAATAAAAAAATATTTCCACTCATGTATTTTTTTTTTTGGGTAAACCACTCATGTATTTTGATAAAATCAAAACTTTAAAATGTTATATAAATAAATATTAGAATTTAGATGCTAGATACCTAAATACATAAAAAAGTGGTATATATATATATATATCAAAAATTTCAATTGCATTTATGCTGGCCTCATATTTTATTTTTTGTTTGGAAGAGTTTTTAAGAAATTTTTGTACTTAAAAATTGTTGTAAAAAATAGTAAAAAAATTGTCCCAAACGAATCGGTAAGATGAGCTGATCTCAAGAAAATGAATCTTTAAACAAATGAAGGGAATGAATGGGGTCATGTGAGCTTTCTTTAGCCATTGGTGATCGATGGAATATAATAGAAGCCCCTTGCTTTCTTCATCATTGGAACTGACGAAGGCATGCTGAACATCATAATTTTTTTAATTTAGTAATGGAAGGTGCACATTCCATGCAAGTTTAAATATTCAGCAGCAATGGTCAGCTCTTCATAATGAACATGGGTTTAGCTTAATGATCCATTCTCCCTAATTAATGCTTCTTGGGCTTTGTTTTAGATGAGGCAGCAATTAATAACTCTCCACAGTTGCCTCATAAAAAAAGGGTTCATAGTGGAAGAGTTCTTGTAGAATATTTTGCAGATGTCTGGACAATTTTTTTAATACAAAAAAATTTTAGTTCAAAAAGCTTTTGTGCTTAAAAGCTACTTTGGAAAATAACAAAAAAAGCTGTCTCAAACGAGATTAATTATTCTATGTGGACGCCAAACGTCATCCGGAGACTAACCATAATGAGAAATGTTACGTACCCCTTCGCTCGATACCGCGGCTCGATACTGTTAGATTCTGCTCGATACCACTGACGTGACACATTCTTGTTGGTCTCCGGACCGCGTTCTGCATCCGGACTATACACAGAATAATTTCTCCTCAAACGAAATCTGTGAGAAAAGTTTTGCCATATATTTGGTAGTAAGTTAAGAAAATTTTTATATACTAGTTTTGCATTCTATGTCTAAGAGTGAAGAGGCAGAGATCTACAATAAGGGATTGTTGTGGAGGCCAGGGAATCTTGGGTGTGATCTCTTGAGTAGTTGGAGTGAGTATCAATTATTGTTGGGATGTCAAGATAAACAATATGATTTATTAGAACCCGTATGGCCGTATTTGAAATTTGATCAAGAAGATCGAAGACATCGAGCGATTGAGTTGGGGTTGGAGCTGGTTGGTGACACTTGAACAATATGGTCAGATTAAGGCTTCGTTTGGGACGACTTTTTTTTATGCTTCTTAAAGTTGCTTTCTAATACAAAATTTTAAATTTTTTAACTAGAAAGCTGCTCTAAGAAGCAGCGAGAAAGCCGTCCCAAACGAAGCCTACGTATAAGTGACAATATTCGGCCATGATTGCCTCTAACAAGTAGTTTAGTTGCTATATATGGCTCTAGATTGATATGCAACTTGGCAAGTCTCTTCGGAAT